ACTCTTACATCTGAACACCACATTCTTAATTGACGGCAAATAGGTTAATTGTAGTACCAGCGACATCCGGGGTCACGGCCTTCTTCGCCCGCATACAACTTCCGGTCATCATAGCTGTTTTCGGTCTAAATGCAGCAGTAATGACCATACGTTGTACTCGGGYGAAGAAGGTAGTCCCGTCAGAATGCCTTTGCRGTTGCTTCTTGTGCAATGTGCCCAGTCGTGATAATCAGTCGTCAATCGTAGAGACAAAGTAGACGAACGCTGCTGATAAATCGTGATAATAATGATCCCCAAAATGAGAGAGAATACATACACAGACGAGAGAGGGAGGAGGAGAGAGGGAGAGAGGGAGAGAGGGAGAGAGGGAGAGAGGGAGAGGGATGGAAATAATCTGAAAGCCTGCAACACGCTCGCCAAAAACAGAGGGAAGAAAGAGTGATAGCAGGAGCACCATACAAGTCAGGTCAGCTTCTAACTTACTCTCGTCAGATCTGACAAATGTCGGAGCTTCAGTGGTAGAAAACTGCAGACCAACGAGATGAGGATAATAGCAGCAACGGCGACAAGCTTTAATTGCCATGTCGAGGCGCTTTCCGCCCAAGCAGAATCATCAATCGTCATCTTGGCATATGTAAATGAGGCAGTCGTCCTGCACTCTTCTCAGGACCCCGGACGATTGAAATGAATAAGACCAAGTTGAGTCTGTAACGAGCAACAGCAGAGGAGAGTCCAAGAAAAAAAAAAAAAAAAAAAAAAAAAAGGAGGAGGAGAAAACAGAAAAAACGAAGTTCATCAATACACAATACGTGCAAAAAAGAATGTGTGAGCAGAGTTTCTATCATTCATGAACTGGCAAATGGTGCTGAAGATAACATAATTAATATTAATTTAATTTAATAATTTTAAATATGACAATTATCATGCAAGGAAAATAAGTAACAGCGAGATGACAATTCCAGATCACACCATCACATTGAAAGCCAAATAGTCACACCGTGTCCAGAGAGCAGCATTAAACCAATAATACACCAATGGAGGTTCATAGCACTGAAAACAAATGTTCATGGAGAGCATACTCTCTCCTCCCAACACAAGAGTCCAGTTCCTTCACACTCACACTTGGCGCTCAGCGCCCAGCCTACTCCTACACAGCTACTACAGACTACAAAAAGACAATGCAACTGTTGACATCAGCGGCAGCCCGAAGTACTTGAAGATGTCGCCCATGCAGACCATCACCAATACAAGGTAAGTTCCCTCACATCATCATCATCATCATCATCCTTCACCTATCCCCTGACTACACTTACACCTGTCCTCTCCTTCACCCGAAGACCACCCCTGCGCTTCACTGTAGTCCAAGCCCACCAGCTATGGTGGCTGGGCTATGGCGCTGCCCTCAGCAGCGCCCTCCTCCTCTGCACGACCGCACGTGCTGCACCTCGCCTCTCAGCGCCAGCCAGCAGCCGCAAGCCTTTGCTCCAGCAGCGCTGCCGCTAGCATGTGAGTGCCTGAATGAGGCTGCCTGGCCAGTGCTCTTTCCTTTATGGGAAGGGCTGGGCTGGGCCCAGAAGCTTCCGGAAGGCCCCAGGAGGCTGCCTGGATGCAGCAGCTACTGGGCTGCTGGGCCTCGTTCGGTTGGGCGCCCAACTGTTTCTGTATGAGGCATCGAATCACGCCCAGGGCCTGCATTCTTTGGAAAGGCCCGGTAGGTCATGGAAATGTCTTTGTTGCTCGGCCTGTGTTTCTTTCAACCAACTGGCGCGTCGCAACTGCCTGGACCCCAACTATGAAATTGACAGTCGAGGGCCTCTTGCAAAAAGCCAGGCCCGCCTTCACTTAGGGCGGGTAATGCTGCAAACAGAGCCCCATGGGCCTACCGAGGACCCTGATCCTCGCAATCATAAAAATGATAATTTATTATTTAATCATTTTAATATTATTTTATTAATTAAATTTAGTTTATGAATTCCTTTTTCTGGTAGTATGAGCTCAGAATTCATCCAAAGCTGAGCACCTACCTAATAAACCAATCATCGGATCTTTGGCCAAAATACTTGAAAATAGTAAATGCATTTAATGCGAGGATTTAGCCCTCGGCAGCATACAGGGGCCCCACTTTTCCTGAATCTCCGCCACACTAACATTCCCATGAGGGGCCCACCGTGCAGGCAATTTCAGGTACCAGACAGTTAACGGCCACCAGTTGGTTACAGGGCCCAAACATGTGTGACCACGCCATTCAGAGCCTTCCAGGCTTGTCTAGGATGCGACGTGGTGAGTGGCCTTTCGACCCAATCAGGACGCGGCGAGCGACAAGAGCCACACACAGTTGGACGTGCCTAACTACTTCGGTCCCAGGCCCTAATCCGAAACTGGGCCTGGGCGCAGACACTTCGGCCCGACTGGAAGCTACTGGGCCCCAGCACGCGTGAGCACTTTCCATAAAGGAAAGTGCCCTGTATCAGCCAGTCATTCTGGCAGCAGGCTACCTCGCGGCCAGGAGCACAGGCTGGCTACTAGAGCGCTTGCTGGAAGGCCCCCACGGGTGCTGTGTGGTGTAGTGGTGCTGCTTGGGCAGCACCCGTGAGCGGCCATAGTCGGGCCTGCTCAAGAGATCGTGGTGTTGCGATGGTGGTCCTCTGGGAGCAGGGAGACACGCTGTGGGGTCCAGGTGGAGCGAGGGGAAAAGAGACACATACCTGGTGTATGCGGTAGTCCGCATAGGCGACGTCCTCACACACATTTGGTCTTCAGCTGGAAAGGATCGCTGGTTGTGCAAATAAATTGCAGTATCCCATGGGACTGTACACTAACTGTGTTTGCTGTTTCCTTGGTTTGGGCCTTGCAGGACTTGATCCCGTGACCTGTAATGTGTACGTTCGGTTTGTTAGCTTTGAGCCCTACTGGGCTTGATCCTTAGACCTGTAGCTAGTAATCTCTATTTGGCAGTCTTAGACCCTTAGGCTTTGCTGTTTTGTCGTTTTCTGCAGTTGCTGAAGTCAATCTGGGACTTGATCCTATGAGCTGTAGTGTGTTTGTGGTGATTGACTGTTTTTGAGCCTTATTGGGCTTGAACCTTGAACATTCACTAGTATTCTCTACTTCATAGTCTTAGGCCCTCATTGGGCTTGAACCCTGAACCTTCGCTAGTAGTCTCTACTTTGTAGTCTGCCTTGTTGTTTTGTCCTTTTCTTCCCTTCTGGAAACTGGTAGGCCCGTAGGTCTTTCTTTTGTGTGTCCTAGCCTTGGGTCCCCTTAGTCTAGGTTTCCATCTAGATGCAAGTAGGTAGATCTTGACTGTTTGGCCGTAGATGTTTGCTGTTTGGACGGTCAGATAGGTCTGTAGGTGGCTGCTGTGTTGTAGGTCTAGGGAAGTTGGGTAGAAGTAGGCAGAGGCTGGCGAGTTTGGGGCTCTTTTGGTTCTTTTCGTTGCTTTTTTTTCACAGTCATGGAGGAGGTCGCATTGCTTCCTTGCTGCACTATTGTGGGCATGTATGCAAGGGCATCTTCTCCACATGCCGCTGGCAGCCATACCTGGGGCCAGCCAGCTCCATTGGTGACAAAGCTCGGCTCAGAGCCCAAGTGCTGATGAGAGCTTCCTCGTATTTGTGTGCTTGTCGGGGTTTGGTCAGCTGCCACCGAAGCTGCACTTTCAGCGGTTCTTCTTGGACGTGGCAGCTCTTCATCTTCATCGAGTTGCTGTTCTTCTTCATCATCCTGGGAGCTGCACTCCCCTGCTGAGTGGACATTTCATCTGCAGTGGGCTTCTTGAGTGGTGCAGAGAGGGGTGTTGGATTTAGGAGAGTGTGTGGCGATTGGCAGGCTTGATAGGTTGGGTACTTGCAAGCACCATAGCTAGAGCTTGAAGAGGGAGGAAAAAGAAGACTCCCGGATACTTCGATGAAATCTTGTAAATAATTGGTCCGCGGGTGTTGATAACGTTGTTGGGATCCTTGGGAATTTGTGCTGTTGATTGACTTGTGCAAGGAAGATGTGCGATCGTGAACTTCAGAAATCAAACAGCATCATACACATAAGACCAGATAGTCGTGACCTCGAACCAACAGCAGAATTGCATCACGAGTTTCACCAAATAAGAACACACCAAGAGCTCATAATTGACAATGCTGAAATAGTCTCATCATCATCATCATCAACGAAGAACCAATGTTGGTATCCTATCTGGCGTTCGGCGCCCAGACTACAGATGGCAGATCCTATCTAGCCTACTCTACAATGCCAAAGATGACGACAACAGCTCTCCCGAAGTACGCGCAGGTAGTGGCCAATGCCGCACGCTTCCAGCACCAGGTATGTCTCTCGCTTCGCTCACAACCTCGTTCCCCAACACACAGATGCCACATGCACCCAAGGACCACCTTGCGCCCCATCCAGCTTACAGCAGCGCAGCTCGGCTATGGCTGCCTGCTCCTTCCAGCTCGCCCGTGAGCGCGTAAGCCTGGCAGGCGATAGCGCAGCAGCGCTTGCGCACAAAGCAGCCAGTGCCCGAATGTCCAATGTGGAGGCAGGCCCTTTGCTATATGGAAGTGGCCTGCCTGCGTTCTGTCCCAGGCTGCGCTGGGCCTTTCCCAAGAAGCTTCCGGTAGGCCCCGGTAGACTGAGGCCCAGACCAAACGAATTGGCCCAGGCCTGCCGACAGTTACCTGTGCCCAACTGCCCGCATCCTGAGTTGGGCCTATGTTGCGAATCTCGCCCAGGGCCTGACTCAGATGCATTTGATAAAGAAAGCCAGGGCCTGGGTGCTTCCAACCAACTGGCGCAGCGCAACTGCCTGAATTTCCCCAGTTGCGAAGTAGTCCAAAATAGGCCTCTGAGGGTCTGTCGGGCCTGCCTTCACTTAGGGCGGCCGACGCTGTTGCAAATAGGGCCCAGTGGGGCTTATTGAGGCCTTGTGCCTCGCACTTGGGGAGAGACGGTAATAATTAGAATTGATTTTCATTTCAACTATATTTTCGGTGTTTGTGTGCTTACGCTGTGTATTCTTATCATTCATTGTGGTGTTGATTGCTCCCTCCAGAGGTCACTTGTCATTGCACATGTGTATGGGAACGTGTGGATGTCATGTTGGATCTCGTTTCAATCAGGCACATAACAGTTGCATCGTCATTAGTGGTAGGCTAGTATAGGTTCTGAGTAGATGTAGGCTATGGGCGCTGAGCGCCAATGAAGAAGAGTGACTTTGGATACATTGTTGATGGTGGCGAGAAGAGGCTGACATTGACATTTGAGTTCATTGCATTGCTCTTATTTGGCTTGTATCTCAGTGGATTCTGCTTTCTGCTTTGGACACGACCATCTGGTCTACAATGTGATGTTGCAATTTGGTTTTCTGCCTGTCGCTCTTGCTCATTTTCCTTGCATAAAAATAGTGAAATACGGTTTAAATACCCTTAAAGTAATACACGGGGATTGCCAACAAAGTAGCAGCATCACAACATCCCATACATGCAAGCGCACATCGTGCGGGCGGTTCCCTACGTGCGGCGCACGCGCCCAACCGATCCCGTGCGGCACACGAGTGTGCGGAGAACAACCGGACACCCCCCTCAGAAAAAAAAAAAAAGGCCGGGGTCGAAACGGTGCGTTTGAGGCCCCCCGCCAAAATTATAAGCGAGATGAAAAAAAAAATTACAGGAGTACTGCCTCACCTTGCTCCTCCTCCCCTTCCTCATCCTCCG